ACTCGAGTATAAGCCGAGGCGGCTTTTTTCAGCCCCAAAAGTGGGCTGAAAAATTCGGCTTATACTCGAGTATATACGGTAATTGAATCAGCAAAGACAAATGAATTGTAACCGCTACCCACTGGGTAAACTTTCTGCAATGTGTGTAAGTTCCTTTTAACTTTGAGAAGGCATGCTACACTTGCACTAAGATGTGTTGCAGATGTCTTATTCAAGTAGCCAAAGTGGCACAGTGGTTAGAGTGTAGTACTGCAGCTGTACTGCTATCTGCAGTTTGGCTGTTCAAATCTCACCAGCTCAAGGTTGACTCAGCCTTCCATCCTTCCGAGGTGAGTAAAATGAGGACCCAGATTGTTGGGAGCAATATGCTGACTCTTTAAACCACTTAGAGAGGGCTATAAAAGCACTATGAAGCAGTATATAAGTCTTACTGTTATTGCTATTGCTATTTTGTACTTTGTGTAGCCCCAGAACACAAATAATACCAAAAGTAAATGGGCAATTGTCACCTACAGACAGGTTTTCGGTCATTTGTAGGTTGGAATACACATCTCATCTCTCCCAGATTTCAGAAGAGTGATCTTACCTGTGATCATTCCAGAGCTACAACTTTTTCTATCTTGCATCTTGCATTTCTAAAGGCAAGATAGTTGCCATAGACAATAAAAGTGCATTCCATCTAGCAAAGCAAAGCTGTGATGCCCCTAAATTCTCCATTGCAAGCAAAGAAACTGTCCGTCAACTTTTTTCCCACTATCTTCTTTGTATACCTTTGCCATATTTTATTTTACTTTTCATACCTTACCTCTGTAAATCAAGCCTGTTTATTTTGTATCGTTATAGGAAATGGAAATGGCTCTATAGGAAATTCGGGAAGGAAACTATTTAAAGTGTATTTTGTTTAAAGTTTTAACTTTAATTTTGTTTGAAACTGTACCCATGATAGCAGTATTATACAAACAAGAGAGAGGTTTCATTTCTGCTTTTACCTGTTTCAGGTGGTCATTTAATGCTATCTGCATCCCACTCTTCTTTCTTAACATCTCACAGGTCATCAGAGTATAGAAAAGAGCAGTGATTAACAGTGGCAAACAGAAATAAAAACCAAAAATCCACCAGTCTTTAGCTACCTGGTAAAACTGAGAGAAGGGAAAGGGAGGGATGAGAAGAAAATAAACAGAAGGGTTAAGACATTGTTTTGTAATTGGCGGTAAAGAATATATGCAGATTAGCAATTGACAAAAAACTGAATGCCAAGGGATAAGTGGTAAGAAAAAAATAGATCTATCAATAAAATGCAGTTCCATGAACTTATCAGAAACTCAAAGCAACAATGGGGTTCAGTCATCCTGGACCTTGATATACCAGTAGAACCCTTCTTATTCTGCAATCATTTTCTATTAGAATTTTGGCAGCTTCTTTCTACTAGTCTTTCCATGTCTTGATCCAGGTCAAGTCAGAATAACAGAATAATAGTCGGAAAGGACCTTAGAAGTCTTCTAGTCCAACCCCCCTTCTAAAGCAGGCTTCTGCCTTAGTCTATTCTTGAGTTTAAAGTGTAGGTGTATGTTGTGTTGGTTGAAAATCCTCCTGCCACATATGGAATGATAACATTGCTACATTTGTTGTTCACTTCTTTGTCTGTAATGAAGGCGATCTTGTTGGGGTTTTTTTTTGGGGGGGGGGGGATTTGATAAAGGCCCAGTTAGGATAATCACAAGTTCTGGGGAATTCCTTGAACCCTTCTTTAAATCCAAAAATATTGAGGGGACAGGAATGTTAATAATTTTAAATGGAAAAAATTGGGCTATTTTAAATAAAGTGAACAAATGGGATTTCATATTTTTAAGATGAAATGTTAAGATTTAAAAAAACGTTATGCTTAAAAATTTGAAAAACCACAATTTCTCTTATTTACTCATATACATGGAATTAATGTATTATTACATGTCTAATGTATCTGAATCCCTTAAAAAAAATTCTTATTTTAACGGAAGAATGTTAAAATTTTAAATAAACAAATTCAGTTCAGGCAATGGGGACTACATGTTTTCGATTTGATTCCAAAAAGGTGACTTAAAGCACATGGAAGTCCAGATGTAGCATATGCCACCTACTATTTAAAACAGTCATGTCTTCTTCCAGGACTAATCAAAATACTTATTTACAACTAAATCCTAAACATTACACAGCACCAATATTTAATCGCAGAAAGAGATGATCGTGTGTTACCTTCATAAAAGATGATTCTTGTTGGGGAGTAAGTAAACAAGTAGACAACGTCTCCCCATTGTATGGCATAGTAATAACATCAAAGCCTATAGCTTCAGGAATAGCTAAAACAAAGGACACAACCCAGATCAAAACAATTTCAATTGCTGTCCATTTTGGTACGCCAATTCCTTTGATACGGCTCCATGAAGCAACAGCTCGATACCTGAATATATATAAAAAAAGAAATCCTGGTTAGTTTAGGCAGAGAACCTTTCTTAATGTAGTGAATATTTTGCACCAGAAATGCTATAGTTCTGGGTCATTGATTAAACTATATGTGGCAGATAAACAACAAACCAGATAGTTTGGGAAGAACCATTAGTTAGAAGATGCATCTCATTTCATTTCATTTATTAAATTTATAGGCCACCCAACCCCCGAGGACTCCGGGTGGCTTACAACGAAAGAAGAAAAAAGAAAAGCAAAATAAATAAAAAATAGTTTAAAATTCACAACACACATACGTTCTAATCGGGGCTGGACCTTAACACTAAGGTCAACAGCCCCAGGCCTGCAGGAACAGCCAGGTTTTAATGGCTGTATCTCTTCAGATGTTGGTGAATTCCCATTCTATGAATTCTACTCAGCATGGACAATAGTGAAAGGTGACAACAGATGCAATTCAGAAATATCTGTGGGATGGCATATTGCCCATATATACGCATGCTGGTATGTGCTATACCATGTTTCCCCTATAATAAGACAGGGTCTTATTTTCTTTTGACCCCTGAAATAAGTGCGTGGCCTTTTGGGGGGGGGGCTTATTATTTTTGAGGTGCAGGAGGTGGCGAGCGTGGTCACCTCATGGCTGCTGCTGTGTCGCAATATTTTCGGGGAGGGCTTATTTTGGGGGAAACAGGGTAGTATATTGGGATAACATTTTGTTCTTTTTGACTGATGTGAGGGACCATCAATTTTTGGTTCTTCCTTTTTTTAAATCCAAGTTTAGTTCAACCTTACCATGTCACAATGCAAGCCACATCAAACCCTTGGGATATGGGTTTCCCTTCCCCTATGCCAAGGTTGTGCTCAGCTACGGGAAGAGGTAACACTAAACAGGAAAGAACTGTACTTTATTCTCCATTCATGGAATTTTGAACTTCCACTACTACTGAAGTAGCAGAAGAATATTCTATTACTGCAGCAGGAGCTGAAGAAGGCACAGAGCTTTGAGAAAGACATGAAAGTAATTTTGCTAATCCAGGCCGTCCACTGTTAAATCCTAGCAGGCTCTGAGCAATTCCTTTATCTATCCTGATGCTTCCCTTTATCTCCAGCTCTATAACTGGGGTGATCAGAGAGTTCAGACATGACTGTGAGGGCCATAAAACCTGGGAAATATATACTGATAGCTTGGAAGGACAATTAAGGGACCAGGAAAGGCGTTAGAAAGAGAATCAAACTGGCTCTGGAATATGGAATACTAAGATCAGGATATATATCATTCCCAACATAAAGTGTACCATAAAAATACCATCTCAGTGGTGGGATTCATTTTTTTTTACTACCGGTTCTGTGGGCGTGGCTTTGTGGGCATGGCTTTGTGGGTGTGGCTTTGTGGGCATGGTAGGGGAAGTATACTACAAAATTCCCATTCCCTCCCCATTCCTGGGGGAAGGTTACTGCAAAATTCACATTCCCTTCCCACCCCACTAACCTGCTTTCCAGCTCTGTTCTCCTGTGCAGGGCAAGAAAAGAAGATCAGCTGGGAGACTGGGAGGCAGTGGGGGCATGGCCAGCCTATTTGCCAGTTCTCCGAACTACTCAAACTTTCCGCTACCGGTTCTCCAGAACCTGTCAGAACTGGTTGAATGCCACCTCTGTACCATCTCTGTGATTACTTGTTTACTCTATGTTTTTATCACATAGATTGCTTTCATTAGGCTGAGATGACCCTTCTGCCATGCGCCCTACTATTTGGGCTGGGGTATGACAACTTCCAGTTCGTCAGAGGTGCTCCAATTAGCAAAAGCTTTTCAAATCTCATCAGAGGCCAAACAAGTCTTTCCTTGGTAGTAGTTCTATAGTTGTCAAAAAATACTTTTGTTTTAAAAAATGATTGGGATTACTTAAATAGATAACAGCATTAATCCCCAAGTCCAATTGACAAAGTTACAAATATTTAGTGAAATAAATGGAAGGGAAGAATGCACTACCAATGTTTTCCATAATGCTCTTATTTATGTTTTATTAGCAGTTTTTTTTAATCTTCTATTTACTTTTGGAATCTTTATTTTTGTGTGAATTCTATTTAAATAATTTCTCAAAGCTTATTTTTCCAAACAAACAGCATTTGTAGAAAGGTATTGAATCTCCCGGGAGAAAATGGGAAGTTAGGAAGGTTATAAATATTCCATTCTCATGTTTGTTATTTCTTCTACTTAATACAGAGGATTCTCTCTTCCTTTTTTTAATTCCACAAGCCCATTTATTTCTTAAGGTCCCTTTTTAGGTGTGCATCTACATATTCTGTGTCTATAATTTCACTTACAATAGCCCTATTGTTTAAAAAAGACAAAGAGAACTGTTTTCTTACCTATCAATACTGAGAGCACATAAACTTAACACTATGATGCCGACAGACGTCTTTTGAAAGAAGGGGAATAATTTACACAACTCAACTCCAAATGGCCATTTTCCTGCGTGAAGCTGTGGAGAGAAAAAGATGTGCTAAGCATTTCAAACTTTAGAGTAGAAAGACAACACATGCTAAACTAATCTTAGGCTAAAAATTACCAATTCTTGGAAGCTTAACCTTGGCATCTGAAAACAAGGAAATCGTTTTTGAAGTCTAGAAGATACTATTTTTTTCTTAAAACAGCACCAGCTGTTTAGAATTATTCTTTTGCAGTGCAAAATATCATGCATGTATTAGGCTTCATCTGGAAAGATCTATTCATACAACCATCACTGGGATTTACATTAATCTTAATATTTCTAGCACAAATTTGGATGGTGGGGAAAAAAATCATAATATTTTGGAAGACGTCTGCACCCACCAATCTGAGGTCATCCGTTGCTATGGGAGGAAAGTGCACTGGTCCAGTGTACTTAACTTCTTCCTTTGGCTTTTGAAAAACAATGTAATGGCATTCTCAGATGGCTCTTCACTAAGAAAGAGGAAGACAGAGGTAGGACTGATTCTGGAAAGCTAATCCTAAATTCTGAGTTTTGGCAGAACCAAACACTATAGCTTTTCATTCTCCATCCATGGATTCTTTTTCTGCTGATACAAATATCTGGCTCCCCAGCACCAGGAAAACTTCATAAAGATTCCAAGGGCAGAGGGATGGAGGAATAGTAAGGTAAAGGTAAAGGGTCCCCTCGCACATATGTGCTAGTTGTTCCCAACTCTAGGGGGTGGTGCTCATCTCCGTTTCAAAGCCAAAGAATCAGCGCTGTCTGAAGATGTCTCCGTAATTCTGTGGCCAGCATGACTAAACG